TCACACGTGTCGTCGTAATTGTTCACAGTCAATAAGTAATGTCAACACTGAGAAACCTCTATGCCGAAGATTCAACTTTCTAATGGCCTGAGTCATTTAGAATTCTCCAGAATGAGACGGCTTCTCTGTCTGGTATCCTATCACCTAGAATGACAGACTTTTCAGTGGGATTCCTTTGTGTGCTTTTTAATCACAGCATCACTTAGTGTATTTTCCAACCCAACACTGCATATTCAGGTAAGAGTAGCTTCGCTGTGGGGTTTATTTCTTTTCTATACCGAAGAGTGTGGGGGTAAGCAGTTTCCAGGGCTCTGGGGCCATACCCTGGCAATCCCCTTCGCCTTCCCCCAAAGAATCTCAAGATGCCTGCAGCAGCTCCAGGCTTCACATCCGCACAGGACAACATTCAAAAGCAAAAAGAAGGTTCTTCTAAGGTGTCTGTCTCTTACAGGGAGGAAAGTCTTTTCCAGAAGCCCCAGCAGACTTTCCTTTATCTCCCATTGGCTAGCATGGGTCACGTGCCCATGCCTGAGCTGCAGGGGATTAGCTGGCATCCGTGGATGGACAGATACGGCAGCCTGGGTAGCTGAAGCAACTGGAATTTGTTTTCTCACGGTTCTGGGAGCTGGAAGTCCAGGATCAAGGTGTCACTGGGTTGGTTTCCGATGAAAACTCTATTCTCCTCGGCTTGTCGACGGCCATCTTCCCATCGTGTCCTCGCGTGGCCTTTTCTCTGTACTTACGCACTCCTGGTGTCTTCTTGTAAAGACACCAGTCTTAATTCAGGCCCTACCCTTTGGACTTAATTTAACCTTAATTCCCTTCTTAAAGGCCCCATCTCTAAATACAATCACATTGGCAGTTAGGACTTTATGTTATGAATGGGGGGGGAAGGTGGGGGACACAACTCAGTACATAACTAACCATAGACAACCAGGATTGTCTGTCCACCATTACCAGATTGTGGGAGATGATACTGGCTGCTGTTCCTCTCTGAGATAAGTAGTCTTTATGTCTATACACACTTGTGCTTTCCTTTATTTTCATTCTAACGTTCTTGGTACAACGGACATTCTGGAAAGCCAGGAGCGGGTGTCGCTTTTGGCTGTCACCACCCGAGCTGTGAAGTCTTCCCACTGTCTTCTCTATCCCAGAAAGCACCCTCTGCCTATCACTTAACACCGCTCACAAGGGTCTTGACTTTTAAGCAATGCGACGTCAGTGTGTATTTAAATGCCATCCATTACCATCAAATGGTGACATTTACTTCATTTGTAATTCAGAAAAAAGAAAACACATCCTCGCAGACAGCAAAGAGACACTCATATCAAAGATAATGGACCCAAACAATTGTCGTCCCTTGTATTTCGAGTTTGGAGAACAGAGCTAATGAAAGATTAAAGAGAAGGCCCAGGAGCTGTAGGAACAAGTTTGAGCAATCGCTTGTCACTTGAGGTTAGCGCAGAAGTTATTTTAACAAGATATTACTCGCAAAATTTCCACCATAAATCTTTTATTAAGTCCAGGAATCTCAGTCAAGACATTTTCCATGCAGGATTGTCAGAAATGCTCCTTCATCGCTTCCTTTAAAACCCGAGGATGAGAGAAGCTAAGTGCTGACCGGCTTGACCTTCACATAAACCTAATATTATCATTGATTTTCCTCTACTCAAAGAGGCGAAATATATTTTTTGGAAACTCCTATTAACGAGCCTGTTTGGATAAGCCTGGACAAAGCCACTGAGTATTTATTTTGCACTCCTATTTGCTTGGAACAGAAGCCCCTGGCTGGGCGTAATAAGCCTCGACACATTTTGATTGCCCTGCATCACCCCTGGGCACGATAAAGAAAGGGCAGCCGAGGCAGCTTAGTCAGGGGGGGAAAAATACTGTAGAATTCTAGCAACCTTAGCAGGCCCTGCTGACCTTCCCAATTAGGGCAGGATTGTTTATTCTTAGAGATTTCAGGAAAGAAGTCCTCACTCCCTCCTCGGTAGCGCCACTCCGGCATTTCATCTAACGTTTCGTCCTCCTCATGCCTAATAATCTGGTCCCATCCATTACAAATATCTGGATTCTTTTTTTTTTTTTTAAATTGCATGTGGATGTCCGGCTGTTCCAGTACCACTTGTTGAAAAGACCATCTTTTATCCATTCTATGGCTTTTGCTCCTTCTTCAAAGATCAGTTGACCGCTTATATGGGTCTATTTCTCTCTCTCTTCCGTTCCATTAATCTATTTGTTCTTCCCCAATACAACACTGTCTGTAGCTTTATCGTCGGTCTTAAAGTCAAGTAGCGTCAGTCGTCCAACTTTGTTCTTCTTCAATATTGTGTTGGCTCTTCTGGCCTTTTGACTCCGTATAAACTTTAGAATCAATTTGTTGCTATCCACAAAACAACGTGCCAGGATTTTGACATCCGTTGCAAGTGGAAAGTTCTCTCCGCTCCAGTCGTGTTTCTTCCTTTTACTTACATCCTTTTCCATGTTTTAAAATTAAAAAAATAAAAATAAAAATCCATCATTTAGACAATGGGGATGTTGGAAATGAAGCAGAAACAAATACTCTAAAGAAATCATATGTGTGATATATATTTGATACAGTCATCCTCTTGGCCTCTGGTTTAAAACAAAAAAACACCGCTAAATAGGTTGTGAATGTTCTGATGCGTGCCAATTTTTTTAGGTCTTCCCAAACCCTGTAAATCGGATAATTAAAATCCATGGTATATTAAACAAGGCAATTTATTAAGGGGGGAAAGACTTTCAAAATAAACTAACAGAGACTGTGTGGGTTATAGGATGCTTATGTTATGCTACATAAAGTGATTTTAAAATACTTTTAAATTTCAGCCGTGCGGGGACTTATTGTGGGCTGAAACCCAGCAAGAACAAAATTCATTAGCCATAATATTTACCTAAAACATGCCCTGTCTTCTGCTGTGAATGCCTGCCAATTCTAAACGCAGATATGCATGATATTTACAGGTGTCTGCAGTGCCTGGGACTCAAAACTTATGGATTGAGTTTTGTTCTGCTTTTCAATTTTTTAAATAACAAAAACTTTTTTTAAGCTTTATTTGTTTTTAAGAGAGAGAGAGAGAGAGAGAGCATGAGCAGGGGAGGAGCAGAGAGAGAGGGAGACACAGAATCTGAAGCAGGCTCCAGGCTCTGAGCTGTCAGCATAGGGCTTGACGCGGGGCTCGAACTCACGAACTGCGAGATTACGACCTGAGCTGAAGTCGGACGCTTAACCGACTGAGCCACCCAGGCGCCCCAACAACAAAAACTTTTTTACGTCTATCACATACCCCGATGGTGAGGGATAAATTGGAACCATCTCAATGGAAGGCAATTTGGTGATATCAGTCAAAAATGTGAATGAACATACCCTCTGACCCAACAGTTCTGCCTGTAATGATTTCTCCTACAGATCGACTCACAGACCTACAGAAAAGAGGTAGGGACCAGTGTGTTTGCCGAGACAGTGTTTGGTAATAGCAAACAATTGGAAGCAAACTCCACGTCCGTCAATAGGAGCTTAAAAAAAACTTACGGTCCATTCATAAAATAGAATGCCGTCAACCTTTTATTTTTAAAAAGTGCAGAATTGGGGCTCCTGGGTGGCTCAGTCGGTTGAGCGTCCGACTTCGGCTCAGGTCACGATCTCGCGGTCCGTGAGTTCGAGCCCCGCGTCGGGCTCTGGGCTGATGGCTCAGAGCCTGGAGCCTGCTTCTGATTCTGTGTCTCCCTCTCTCTCTGACCCTCCCCCGTTCATGCTTTGTCTCTCTCTCAAAAATAAATAAACATTAAAAAAAATTTTTTTTAAATAAAAATAAAAAGTGCAGAATCTCTGTACGTAAAGAGAGAACTATCTTCAAGATGCTCTGTCAAGTTTCGAAGAGCAAGTTATAGGAAAGTGTGTGTAGAACGCTACCATTTGGGCAAAAAAATACACTTGTGTGAACTCAGACCGTCTCTCGGGAAAAATTCCTAACTGGTAACAGTTGTTGACTGGAGGGAGTTGTTGACTGTAATTGTTTGTAGCTTTGACTTGGTACGGTGTGCCATTTTACCTGTGGAGAAAATAATCATTTGGGGAATAAGATACTTTAAGGAAATGTATAGTAAGATGTAAACTATAAAAATAAATAATACGAAGGCTAAATCTAACATGATAAATAATAAAAATAATTACCACCCCATATTCCCGGCGCCCAGAATGTCACTGCCTGACATTTTGCCATATTTGCTCCCCATTTGTTTATGTTTATTATTTTTAAAGATTATACGACCCATATGAACCCATTGTCCTGTTTTAAAAAATGAAGCTATTCCAAATAAAGCTGAACTCCATTGACCTTCAACACATCCAGACACCCCCCCACACACCCCGCCAGAGGGGACACCCCCACAGGTGGTGTTCGACATTTATGCTCTTAGGTAATAAAGACACTTACCGACGTGTCCATTGATAGAAAACACTTTGTGCCTTTAAATTTTTACATAAATGGGGGCACCTGGGTGGCATAGTCGGTTAAGCATCTGACTTCAACCCGGGTCATGATCTTGCGGTTGGTTCAAGCCCCACGTCAGGCTCTGTGCTGACAGCTCAGAGCCTGGGGCCAGCTTGGGATTCTGTGCCTCCCTCTCTTTCTGCCCCTCCCTGACTTGTGTGCGCTCTCTCTCTCTCTCTCTCTCTCTCTCTCTCTCTCTCTTTCAAAAATAAACATAAGAAGATGGAAAAGATAAAATAAAAAATAAATGTATATAAATGATGTCATAGAAGAGTCCTCCTTCTCCAACTTAATTTTTTTTTTACCGCAGTTCTACCTTTTAAGGTTCATCCGTGTGAATACATATAGGTCTTGCTCAGGGTTTGCTTTTCCGAGATACAAAAATCCCCATGACCCAACTTCCGCTATCTTAAAGGTATCGTATCTTCTGGTTCTCTTCGTCCGAATGAGCTTGTATCCATTCATCTCTTCTCACATGTGCAGCATCCATAAAACACCATGGCGGTCGAGGATGCTGAGCTCCTGAGACGACTCAGAGGATGGGGCCGGACGTCAGGCCGGGCTGCACACCTCTCGGGCGATGCGGAAAGTGCTAACTGCCAGAGGAGAAGCCGAAGGTACCGCTGGGGGTTCCGAGGGGGCGCGATGGGCTTCTGGTGGACTAAGCGTACTGGATGGTTCCTGGTTGGAATAACCGTTGCTGTTATCATTCCCTGCGGCGACCCGGGCCTGGCTCCGTGTGCTTTATGCGGATTTTCTCATTCGATCTTGACGGTTCTCTGAGGTGGTGCTATGACTTGTCCCGTTCTCTGGATTCAGAAGAAAGAGTCTCAGAGAAGTTTAAAGAACTTGTTCATGGTCACCTGGCTAATACGTGGCAGATCAGCTCTAGGCCCTTGCAAGAGGCCCTCAGAGTGCATAGAATTCTCAATTCACAGGTGACGAATAAGAGGTTCAGAGGGTTTGTTAAAGAGCCCCCCGCCCCCAACTGAGTCACTCGGCTAGCGTTTTGCACGCCGGTTCCCTGGGTCCACTCTGTCTCCTGAATTGAGTATACTTGTCATGGCATTCAAGGCTTACACTGATGAGGTCACGCGTAGCAAGTCCTGCCCCCACGGTGGGTCTGTAAGAGGTGTGGGAAGAGACGGTGCCCACGCCACCTGCTGGACCCAGGTGCTTGCACTGTCCCTGCTCCCTGATACCCACCCCCTCACCCCATCCTTAAACTTTCTTCCAAGCAGTGTGTCTTTAGTCACGTGAGTTCTTCCTTTTGACTTGAGTTTTTCTACCTCTCTGCCTGGGAGTTTCACCATCCAAGTCTATGTAGTGGCCCAAACTTCTGTTTGGTTGACATTTTATGTGCCATGTGGTGCTAAATCTGTACCTGTGCCTCCTCTCCCTCTCTCTCTCTCTCGCGGCAGAGCCATCTTTCTGTCACTCCACAGATAGCCTGCACAGTCCATGTGACTCCAGGGGCTGCCCTTGTTCCCTTACACCCACCAGAGCCCCAAGATGGGTGCAGTGAGGCCAGTGAGAGAAGCCCATGTCCCTGGCCACAATGGCTGGTTCAGAGATGAACGCTTAATCTAAGTCAGGCCAATCAGAGTCTTTCCCAAGCTTTCCTCTCTCTTTGGGATCAGGAGGTATAAAGAGAATATAAGTTCAGAATACAATGCCAACTGCCATTTACTGCATGGGAAGAACGTGCTTGGGAATAAACGCAGCTAGAGGCAAACAAGCTGAGAGGTGGAAAAAGTAACAGAACTCTGATAACGTTATTGGAACCCCTAGATCCGGCCATTCCTGACTTCCCCCCAAGATTTCTCAGTTACAAATGTAAACATATTCCTTTCTTTTTTTTTTTTTTTTTGAGTTGTGTTTTTGGCTTGCAGCCCAAAGAGTCCTAAGTAGTTCAGACCTCAATATATAAAATAGGTACTTTAGAAATTCTATTTGTATCATATTTCCTTTGAAGTAAAAACAGCAAAAACTTTCATAATCACACAAAAATGAAAACCAGGGGCTACCGATAAAGATTGTAATATCAGCATCAGCAATCAATTTCTTTATTTTGGGTTCTCAATATCAAGAGAATCCGGAGTCAAACAGATACGTAGCTACAAATGGTAACACTTTTAAGCAGTTTACAGAAACACCTCAGGCCTGTCTCCTAACTAATGTCAAAAGCTTGAAAGAGGAGTAGGTCAGTTTTGAGAACCATCAAAATAATACCGTTGTAATTTGAGAACCATCAAAATAATACAGTTGTAATTTGGGAACCATCAAAATAATACAGCGTAATACAGTTGTTCCCATGGCGGTGGGAAGTTTGAGCTGGTGAGAGCTGAATATTACATTCTCCAGAATTTTGCTGCCAATCCTTGAACCAATGTAGCTTGGAAGTGGCATGGTGAGAATATTTACACCAGGGAAATTAGCAAAAAGAAGTCAGCAAGCACCAGAAGTCAGAGTGGGCAACTTTTCCCCTACAGAATTGGGTAAACATTTGCCAACGCACTGCTGGCTCTAATTTCTTTTACATTTCTATTGCAATGTTACATACCTACAATAAAGTGTGCAAATCTTAGGTGTCCTCTGGGTGGATGGATTTTTACTGTATATGCACCTAAGTAACCACCACTCTGATCATGAAATAGAATGTTTCCATTACTCTAGAAAATTCCCACAGGCCCCCTTGCTGGTCATAGCACAAGCACACGCACAGTGTTTTGATCTCCGTCCTTACAGGTTTGCTTTGCCTGTCGGTAAACATCTTATTAATGGATACGTGACGTATACTCTTTTGTGCCTGGTTTTTTTTTTCATTCATTATGTCTGTGAGATTCGTCCGTGTTGTTTCCTAGAGCAATAGTTTACTCTTTTTTATGTCTGTGTCGTATTCCGGTGTATAAATATACTGCAGTGTATTCATCCGTTCTTCTCTTTTTTTTTAAGTTTGTTTATTTATTGTGAGAGGGAGAGAGAGAGAGAGAGAGAGAGAGAGAGAGAGACAGAGTGTGAGAGCACACGGGTTGGGAGTGGGGAAGAGAGAGAGGGAGAGAGCAGGCTCCACGCTGTCAACTCGGAGCCCAGTGAGGGGCTCAACTCACAAACCAAACGATGAGATCATGACCTGAGCCGAAACCAAGAGTTGGGTGCTTATCCGACTGAGCCACCCAGGTGCCCCTCTATTTTTAATATTTTGAGGAACCCCCATGCTGGTTTTCACAGTGGCTGCACCAGCTTGCATTCCTACCATCAGCGCAGGAGGGTTCTTTTTATTCTACATCCTTGCCAACACTCGTTTCTTGTGGTGTTGATTTTAGCCACTCTGACAGGTGTGAGGTGACATCTCATTATAGTTTTGATTTGCGTTTCCCTGATGATGAGCGGTGTTGAGCATCTTTTCATGTATCTGTTAGCTATTTGGATGTCTTCTTTGGAGAAATGGCTGTCCGTGTCTTCTGTCCATTTAAAAAAAAATTTTTTTTTAATGTTTCTTTATTTTTGAGAGAGAAAGAGAAAGAGAGTGCAAATGGGGGGGAGGCAGAGAGAGAGGGAGACACAGAATCCGAAGCAGGTTGCAGGCTCTGAGCTGTCAGTACAGAGCCTGACGTGGGGCTTGAACTCATGAACGATGAGATCATGACCTGAGCTGAAACCAGATGCCTAACTGACTGAGCCGCCCAGACGCCCCTCTTCTGCCCATTTTTCAACTGGATTGTTCGTTGTTGAGTTGTACAAGTTCCTTTTATATTTTGGATACGAACCCTTTATCGGATATGTCATTCGCAAATACCTTCTCCCATTCAGTAAGTTGGCTTTTAGTTTCGTTGATTGTTTCCTTCTCTGTGCAGAGCATTTTATTTTTGATGTAGTCCCAGTAGTTTAAGTTTGCTTTTTGTTTCCCTTGCCTCTAGATAGATCTAGACAAAATGTTGCTATCACTAATGTCAGAGAAATCACTGCCAGAGAAATCCTCTTCTAGGATTTTTATGGTTTCAGGTCTTACGTTTCGATCCTTAATCCATTTTGAGTTTATTTTTGTGTATGGTGTAAGAAGGTGGACCAGTTTCATTGTTTTTCATGTAGCTGCCCGTTTTCCCAGCACCGTTTGTGGAAAAGACTGTCTTTTCCCCATTGTACATTCTTCCCTCCTTTGTGAAAGATTAATTGACCATATAAGCATGGATTTATTTCTGGGGCTCTGTTGTATTCTGTTGATCTATGTGTCTATTTTGTGCCACTACCATACTATTTTGATCACCACAGCTTTGTAGTATACCTTGAAATCTGGGATTGTGATTTCCTCCTGCTTTGTTCTTTCTCAAGATTGCTTTGGCTCTTTGGGGTCTTTTGTGGTTCCATACACATTTTAGGATTATTTGTTCTAGTTGTGTGGGAAATGCTATTGGTGTTTTGATGGGGATTACATTAAATCTGTAAATTGCTTTGGGTAGTGTAGACATTTTAACGATATTTGTTCTCCCAACCCGTAAGCATGGAACGTCTTTCCATGCTGCAATTTCTTTCATCAGTATTTTAGAATTTTCAGAGTACAGGTCTTTGACCTCCTTGGTTAAGTTTATTCCTAAGGTATTTTAGTACTTTTGGTGCAGTTGTAAATGGGATTGTTTTCTTAATTTCTCCTTCTGCTACTTCGTTACTAGTGCACAGAAATGCAACAGATTTCTGTATATTGATTCTGTATCCTGAAACCTTACTGGATTTATCAGTTCTAGTAGTTTTTTGGTGGAGTCTGTAGGATTTTCTATATATAGTATTATGTCATCTACAAATAGTGAAAGTTTCACTTCTTCCTTACCAATCCGAATGCCTTTTATTTCTTTTTCTTGTCTGATTGCTGTGGCTAGGACTTCCAGTACTACATTGAATACATGTGAGAGTGGACATCCTTGTCTGGTTCCTGTTCTTAGGGGAGAAGCTCTGTTTTTCCCCATTGAATATGATGTCAGCTGTGGGTTTTTCATATGCAGCCTTTATTATGTTGAGGTATGTTCCCTCTAAATCTACTTTGCTGAGGGTTTTTAATACGGATGGATGTTGTACTTTGTCAAATGTTTTTTCTGTATCTATTGAGATGATCATACGGTTTTTATCCTTTCTCTTGTTGATATGATGTATCATGTTGATTGATTTGTGAACATTGAACCAGCCTTGCATCCCCAGAATAAATCCCACTTGATCATGGTAAAGAATCTCTTTAATGTATTGTTGGATTCTGTTTGCTAGTGTTTTGTTGAGGATTTCTGCATCTATGTTCATCAGAGATGTTAGCCTGTAGTTCTCTTTTTTTTATAGTGTATTTATCTGGTTGTGGTGTCAGGGTCATGCTGACCTCATAGAATGAATATGAAAGTTTTCCTCTTCTATATTTTGGAATTTTTTGAGAAGAATATATAATTAACTCTTCTTTAAATGTTTAGTAAAATTCACCTGCAAAGCCATTTGGTCCTGGACTTTTGCTTGTTGGGAGTTTTTTATTGCTGATTTAATCTCCTTGCTGATAATTGGTCTGTTCAAATTTGCTATTTCTTCTTTAAAAGTTTTTTAAGGTTTATTTTTGAGAGAGAGAGAGACAGAATGCAAGCGGGGG